TTCTAGCACTGATGATATTACCTAGTCTGGTCATGAAACGCCTGCAAGTAAACAACCCAGCTCAGGGAGGCCCCAAGGACCTCCCCTCGTTGCAAAACAGGGTGAACTTTCGCCCATTCCCTGCTTTGCAACGTTCAGGGGATCCCCTTGCAGGCAATTACCGAGGAAGCACAACAAACAGGTGGGACACCGGGTAAGATGATCCCTTTCATCCCCGGTTTGGGCCTAAGTTCAGGTCCTGGGGGTGGGGAAGCAGGAGGCTCTCATCCTTGGGACTCCCCGAGGACAGTTCACCCAGTTCTGGGTCAGCCGGGCACTTCGCCAGCAAAGGACGAGCAGCGCAGGCCTGTGGCGGGTCCCGGTGGACTCCCATCCACGCGACGGGCGTGTGACGTCACAGGTCCCGGGGCGACCCACCTGTGCGCGAAGCCCCCCCGCTGCGACCCACGCTCGCCGCAGCGCCCCGAAAGCAGCCATGGTCTCCTGGCTTGACCGGCCGCCTGGTCACCTGACCGGAACTCGGCCCGGAAGGGACGCGACGCTCTTCCGAGGCCGCCGCGGCCCTCTTGGTTACGGGCAACACGGCTTTTCGTTCCGCGGAAGAGGCGGTCACTAGGCTAACGGTCCCTTTTCTCGCGAGTTCCACCATAAGGACCCAGAGTTGAGGAGTGGAAAGGAAAATAAAATAATGACTAGGAGAATCAAACACCGCCTGGGTAACGGTTAGACTGAGGTTAAAGCAGCGGCCATGTTTGTCACTGGCACTTTGACCTTTCCTTTTCCGCCATGTTTGTTGCGGTCGAGGCGATACGAAGGAGGAAGGGCGACCATATTTATCACGGGCAGTCAGTGGCGGCATAATCAGTTAGGGAAACTCCTCCCAGCCTTCCTCTATGTGTTGTTTTTAACTTCAAGGCACGTGACTCCCGCGCCGGTTAGAGCATCCTCCTTCGGATTGGCTGACAGGCCTCCACCAATCAGAAGGATCTTCCCGCGTAACAAACAAAGCAGAGCGAGCGCTTTGGCGGTCTGCAAGTTTAAGGAGGTTTGTTGTGGAGGTAGGTTGGTTTTTGGCGGCCTGAGGGATGAATCTGAGGAAAATTATAGTGTTCCGGCACAACTGGTTAGGCGGGATAGGTGCCGCCAGACTTTTCCTGATTTTTATTTTATTTTTGCTGTGGAAAAGTGATTGTGAGGAGAAAGGAGGTTATGGGGGAGGTGAGGGATATGATAATAGAGGAATTTTGCCCTCTCTTTGGTAGGAAAAGAGGGGAAAAAGACCACCGGGAGGAGCTTCTGAGGAAAGGAAGCGAGGTTCGCCTTTTGAAAAGACCAAAGGGAGATAGAGCCTCGGAGATAAAAAATATCTCATAAAAATCCCGAATACATGCTGGCTGGGGAATTCTGGGAGTTGATGTCCACCGGTCTTAAAAGTGGGCAAACTTGGGAAAAATCTGCTCTTAAAGGCCATGACTGGGGCAGGGGGGAACAGGAAAAATTGATATCAAGTTTTGGGAGGTTTCTCATGTAAATGAGGGGTTTTGGAGGGCCAAAACCTGAGGATTAAAAATATGGTAGAAAGGCCAGACCTTAGGAGGAACATCCTGGCCTTATATATAGGTAGTCCTCAATAGAGCCCAAATTTCTGTGTTAGGTGAGATATTTGTTATGTTTTGCCCCATTTTACCACCTTTCTTGCCACAGGCTGTTAAGGGAACCACTGCAGTTGTTTAAGTTAGTAACACTGTTGTTAAAGGAATCTAACTTCCCCCTTGACTTCGGTCACAGAAGATAATCACATGATCCGGGACACAGCAACGAACTGGTTGCTAAGCCTGTGAGTTTTGTTCATAGGCTTAGGGGGATGCTGCAAAGGTAACTATGAAAAATGGTCATAAGTCACTTTTTCAGTGCCCTTGTAACTTGGAATGGTCACTAAATGAACTGTTGTTAAGTGTAGGACTACCTCTGCTGTCTGTGGCACAGACTGCCACATGATATGGTGAGAAGTCTTTATAACAGGCTGAATGCCTGCCTGCCTGAAATGATGGCACACATTTTGGGCTGAGCATGTCAAATACAAGTAGTCCTCGACTTAACAGTTTGTTTAGTGACCATTCAAAGTTACAAGGCACTGTAAAAAACTGACTCATCAAGTTCAGGTTCAAACCTTTATTATCAATGCACAACATTTCTGCAATGAAATTGAGCCTCCCTTGGTGCAGCCCACGGAAGAACACGGAATACATCTCAATAAATCAAAAAATAAAAAATAAATCCCAGATAAGTAATAAACTAGCAAGCATTTCCACATTTATACATACATAAAAATAAAATAAAAATATATTGCACCCATACATATTGCCCCATACATTGGCACTGTAAGTCTATCAGTGATGGCTAACCTTTTCATCACGTGCCAAAAGTGCCTGCATTCATAATGCAATGCTTGCACGACCCCCCCTGTGCCCTTGCACATGCATGCTTGGCCTCCCCGCGCATGCATGGCAGATACCTGACAAGCAGCTGGTGGGAGGTGTGCACGCATGCGCTGTGGGCCTGATCTGGGACAACGGCTCACGTGCTGGCAGAGATGGCTGTGTGCCACTTCCGGCACACATCACATTAACATCATGTGGTAGTCTGATGGCCCATTATGACCGTTTTTCACACGACCATTGCAGCATCCCCAAGGTCATATGATCAAAATTTGAATGCTTGGCAACTGGCTTAGATTTACAATGGTTGCAGCATCCTGGGGTCATGTGCTTTCCTTTTGTGACCTTTTGACAAGCAAAATCAATGAGAAAGCCACATTCACGTAACAACCATGTTACTGACTTAACTGCAGCAATTAAATGAACAGCTGTGGCAGAAAAGGTCATTAAATGGTGCAAAACTCATTAGCAATGAAAAATTTGGATTTAATTGTGGTTGTAAGTCGACTACCTTTACTCAGAAAATGCCTTATTTGATTCTGCTGGTGGTGTATCAAGCACCCTGTATACAGCAAGAGAGAAAATTATTTACGCGTTCATTTATTAAGAAAACAAAAACCAGTCCAATCACATGTGGCACTGTACCATATAAAGAAGCTTCAAAGAACTGAAATGAATTTTTTTAAAAAACAATTTTTATTGCTTTTTAAGACAAACATAGACAGACAAAACATAAAAACATCAAGCCATCTTCCATATATATACATACAGTGTGTTGGTTTACAAATTGCTTTGTGCTTCCATTTCGTAGTCTTCAGTTACAATTACATTGTATATATTCTCATATTTTCAATCAAATATTAAGTACATTAATATTGTTAATCATTTGACTATACTTTTATTCATTCATGTTTTACAAAATAATCCATATTTTACTTAATTTGTTTTATGACAGTTCATATTATCATCTCAAATCTATCTTACAATTATTTTGTAGATATAATAAGAAAAGAATACATCTTTATATATTTATTATTTTCTAAGAATCTACTTATTTCATTACCATGTTTTATTGTCTAACCATTGATAGAATAGATCCCAAATTTTATAAAATTGTTTATCAACTTGTTCTCTGATTTCAAATGTCAATCTACTCATTTCAGCACATTCCAATATTTTCTTAATGATTTCCTCCTGTAATGGTATTTTCTCATTTTTCCAGTTTTTGGCAAATACAATCCTAGCTGCCGTTAATACATTTACAATCAGGTATTTCAATTCTTTACTATATATTTCAGGCAAAACTCCCAATAAAAATATCTCTGGTTTCAAGTCTATATGCTTTTTTGTCATTTTTTCCAACCATGTGTGGATTTTAGTCCAATATTTTTTGGCATACGCACAAGTCCACCACATATGGTAATATGAGCCTGGTATCTGATGACATTTGTCAGACTTGTTCTTGAACATTCTTGCTATTCTTGTTGGGGGAAAATGCCACCTGTAAAACATCTTATACAAATTTTCTTTATATGCTGTTGACATTGTCATCTTATAATTTTGAGACCACAATTTTTGCCATTTCTCTAGATCAATCCCATATCCAAAATTCTTCCCCCAAGCAATCATAGTTTCTTTAACTTGTTCTTCTTCTAGTTTAATTTCTAATAAATATCCATATAATTTTTAATCACCTTTTCATCAGTACCTGTCAAAATCTTATCTAAATCAGTCAGTTTATCATAGAAACCTTCTGTTTTAGGATCTTTGTCATACCTTGAATGTATTTGTGCACATGAAAACCAATTCTTCTTTATACCTTGTTCCTCTAATTTTTGCATAGATTTAAGTTCACCCTTTTCATTCAATATTTCACCATATCTAACTGTTTGTTCCTTTGTATATATTATAGGATAAGAAAATGCTTCAATAGTCGATAGCCAGACTGGAATTTTCAAATAACATTGCCTTTTAGTTTCTCCCAACTTAACCACAGAGACTCCCGTATATAATGTCTTCTAAAATACCCCTGTGTTTGTTCCTTTATACCATAAAAGCATGCCAACCCAACAACAGATCATGACCTATTAATGTCAACAATCTAGTATTTCTTAATGTTATCCATTCCTTAACCCACATCAAATCTGTAGCTTGGTAATACAACTCCCAATTAGGCAAAGCAAATCCTCTTATTCTGGCATCTTGCAAAAGTTTTAACTTTAATCTCGCTTTCTTACCTTGCCATATATATTTCAACACAATTTTATTTAAATCTTCAAAATAATCTTTTCCAAGCCTAACTGGAATTGTTTGGAACAAATATAAAATTCAGGGTAGTATATTAATCTTGATTGTTGATATTCTCCCTATTAATGACAGTTGTAAAATTTCCCATTTCGCCAAATCTAGCGCTATCTGCTGCTTAAGTTTGATATAATTATTCTCTTTTAGTGTACTACATCTTGCTGTCAAATGTATCCCCAAGTACTTGATCTTATTCGTGACCTGGATTTTCAGTACATCCGCCAGTTCTTTTGTCTTGACAGCAATGAAATGAATTGATTAAATTTGTTTGCCACCCATCTCATCATTTACTTGAAATGAATTACGAAGAGAACAAGCAAATTTTTGAGTGGCCACAGGTAATGCTGAGCGCATTGCCATTCTCACTGGACCTCCGAAAATCGCATGAGGGTGCTTTTGAGAATAGCTGTTGGGTGTTGATGGATGTTGGTGTGTCATTCAAAATGCATAAGTTTGCCATCACTCATCTAATGAATTTACAGTGAGCAAGGGGTTGGACTAGATGCGGTGGTGGTGAACCTGTGGCATGCGTGCCAGATGGGGCACTCAGAGCCATCAGAGCCCTGGGCATGCATGCCATTGCCCCAGCACAGAGTTCGTCAGAATTTGTTACTAGAAAGCCAGAAGGACACGGGGAAGTGCTGCTCCCCTCCTCCTCTCTAAGCGCACCTGAGGACATTTCTCACATCACCCGCCTCTCTGCCCAGCAGCCAAATGGGAGCGCTTCCTCCCTCCCGTCTGGGGTAAGGTGAGTGGCTCACATGTGCTGTGAGAGTGCAGCACGGATGGCAGCCTGTTGAGTCTGTGGTGAAGGTTTCCATGGTGGGGTTGGAGAGGAGCTAGGTTGGAGGGGATCATAGCTCACAGCATGGTATAGCTGGAGGGGAGGGGAGGGGAGCGCTCAGGCCACAGCATGGGCTTTGCAGTGCCAGCCCTGCACGTGCTGCTGGCCCTGCCTTGTTGCTTACACCTCCACTTCATCTTATGCAAATTCCCCAAGAAGCAGGTCCAACACATGAATCAAAGGTAGGAAATGCACCCAGATGCCTTTTTCAAGGCACCCCCAGCTGAGAATCACTGCCGTAGATTGTTGATTCAGAAAATATCCATTTCTTTAATAGTGTGTAGCTATTTTTGGTATAGGGATAGATTTGTATTGGGTGCTTTATTTTTTTTTTATTTTGTGTTTTTGTAGACTCCAAGTTTTGAACATCCAAAAATGAGTACAGCAAAAAAAGCAAAAACAGACAGTGGAAGATCATTCCAAGGGGCCTGGACAGAGTCATTTGGAGTGATTGAACGCAATGGGAAAGCGTTCTGTGTTCTGTGTCATGAAAGTGTTGTGTGTCGCACTTCAAGTGTCAGACGGCACTTTGAGACCAACCACAAAAGTGTTGCCAAACTTGATGAAACTGAAAGAAAACAGTTTCTTGAAGAGGAATTGAGGAAATACCGTTCCCAGTATTCTAGTGTTTGCAACTCTCCTAGAAAAAATCATCTGACAGCTGCTAGTTTTCAAATTTCACTGTGCATAGCAAAACATGGTAAGCCCCTCTGTGATGGGGATATTATCAAAACAGCCATGTTGTCTGTGAGTAATTCCCTTTTTCATGATTTCCCAAACAAAGACAAAATTATTCAACGCATCTCTGAGATGCCACTTAGCAGAAGTACTGTTAAAGATCGAGTCCAGCCCATGGCAAGTGAAGTTAGTCAGCAGCTCACCAGTGACTTACAAAAGGCAGCCTGTTATTCCATGTGCTTGGATGAAAGCACAGATATAAACAATCATGCAAGGCTAGCCGTGATTTTGCGTTATGCTGTTGGTGACATCATGAGAGAAGAGCTGGTGAAACTGGTGTCTTTGCCCGAAGGAACACAAGGGATAGATATCTACAATGCTGTCATGGAGGCTTTTTTGTCACGAGACATAAGGCCAGAAAAAGTGGTTTCAATTAGTAGTGATGGGGCACCTTCTATGGTGGGGGCAACCTCTGGTTTCGTACAGTTCTTTGTTAAAGAAATAAAACATCAAGTCATTCAGTTCCATTGTATTCTACATCAAGCAGCTCTTTGTGCCAGGGAAAGCAGCAAAAAATTTGACGATGTCCTCAAAGATGTCACAAAAATGGTGAATTACATCATGGCTCATGCTCTGAATTTTCAACAGTTTCAAGCACTTGTTGAGGAGGTTCAGGCACAGTATAACTGTTTAATTATGTACAATAATGTCCGGTGGCTGAGCAGAGGACGAGTCCTGGAGAGATTTGTAGCCTGCTTGAATGAAATTAGGCTGTTTATGAATGAAAAAGGGCAGGAATATCCACAGCTCACTGATATGGCCTGGCTTACCAACCTCAGGTTTTTTACAGATTTTACACTACACTTCAACGTACTGAACAAACAACTACAAGGTGTAGGGAAAACAGCAGAAAGGATGATTTGTGATATCAAAACATTTGAAGAAAAACTGCAGGTTTTTGAAAAAGACCTTGAAAGTGGGGAGCTGAAATATTTTCCAAATCTAAAAATGCATTTAGAAAATTCTACATTTGCAGACAATCCTACAAGCCATCAGGAAATCTACAAGGAATTTTCTAGCATTGTAGCAGCTGCAAAGGTGAATCTTAGTAACAGATTTTTACAGTTCCGTAAGTTGGAGACAACCCTGTGTTTTCTTACTTCTCCAGATAAAGCCGAATTTGAAGAACTTGATCTTTCCTGCTTAGGCTGGTTAGATTTAGGAAACCTGGAAATGGAGCTAATAGAATTTCAAGAAAGCTCTCTCTGGAAAAATAAATTCTATGACCTGCGTGAAACACTTGAGAAGATAGGAGGGATGACGAAGAGCAGAGTTAGTTTTGAAAATGAAATCCTTAAAGTATGGAATTCTCTGCCAATTATGTTTAAGTCAATGAAAGCCCTTGGGGTTGCTTTCCTTACTTTGTTTGGCTCAACTTATACTTGTGAGCAGCTGTTTTCAGCTTTGAATTATATCAAGTCTGACACCCGAAACAGACTAACAGATGACCTGAGTGCTGCATGTGTTGGTCTTAATCTTACCAAGTATGAGCCAAGGTTGGACACATTACCAGCCTGCAGTCACATTTAATTGTTCACAAGCATGTTAAATGCAAACTTTTACATTTCAATAAAAAGTTATTTGTATTATTGAAAGCTCCATTATTGTGTTTTCTTTTTAAGACAAAGGATGTTAACGTACGAGCTGTTTTTTCTAAACTGAAATCTCAGTATTCAGGTTAAATTGCTGTGTTGGCACTTTGCGAGAAATAAGTGGGTTTTGGGATGCAGTTTGGGCACTCTGTCTAAAAGGTTCGTCATCACTGGATTAGAGAATGTGTGTGTGTGTGATGGTGTTGAGTATCAGAATCTGGATAAAGATGTATAGGCTCCATGCCAAACCTAGTAACTTGGGGACAGGGCTTTCAATACCATTCCCTCCCCCAGATACGGAGATCCACTTCTTGATGAAATACCATTAAGTTAGTCCATAATCTGGAGGTCCTCATAGCCAGAAAGGCTTTTGTATTAACCTACCTCATGTGCCAGATGTGTTGTTCCCAGTTCAGATAACAGATAATCAGAGTTGGAAGGGACCTTATAGGTCATCTAGTCCAACCTCCCACTCAAGCGGGAGACCCTACACCATTCCTGACAAATGGCAGTCCAATCTCTCGAAGGTCTCGAGTGATGGCGCTCCCACAACTTCTGAGGGCAAGCTGTTCAAGAGGCTATGTTTATGGCCATTCATGCCTTAATTATTTTCTGGATGTGCTTTTTTTTTTTTGCAATGTGTTCTATAGGAGGCTGACTTTGAAAGCATTTGGAAGCTGCAGCTGCTTCAGAAGGTGCAGTGTGTGCAGTTGGAGACACTTGTCTGGTAATGTGTACATGCTCCAGAACTCTCGTGAGAAACAATGTCATTTAGAGCAGGGGTTGCCAACTTTTTGGACCTCAGGGACCACCAAACTCATAATTAAATCCCGCGGACCAGAGACCCTGGGAAAATCCCCCAAAAGTGTGCAAGAAAATTCCCTACCGTTTTCCTACCGGTCGACATTCTTTATTTGGGATCACACAATACCATTTCCAGCTCCGTTCTCGGGGAGAAAGAGAGAGACTTTTGGCTTCATGCAAGCAAAGCAGCAGAAACAGCAGAAGTCTTTCTCTCTCCCAAACTCTGCCAGAAATGAGTCTTTGTAAGACTTGTCGCGCCGGCGCAGCCTCTTGGAGCAGGATGCCTTGCAGGGTCCCAAAGACTCATTTTTGGCGGGGTTTGGGGAACAGAAAGACTTGCTACTTTCCTTGCGTGCAGCCAAAAGCAGAAGAAGAAAGAAGCAGAAAAAAGCAGCCTCATAGACAGGCCAGGCATGTGGGGCGAGTGGGGCAAATCCCCCCCGCCCTTTCCCCCCTCCCCTCACTACCTCGTGTTGTTTGCAATGCAAGAGACGCAAGCCTTGTTTCTGCGGGCCATGTGGGCGGCGTAGCCTTGTGTTCCTGCGCAGCCTGGATTAATTGCTTTGGGGGATTGCTTTGGGGATGACATTTCTCTGCAGACCACCAAAATTTTCTCGTGGACCACCAGTGGTCCCGGCCCACTGGTGGGCGACCACTGATTTAGAGAACCTAGAAAATGTGTCTTCTCTGACCTGGTATCTGCCTTGTGATACAGCCTACTCAGTCACTTAGGATGGCTTTTCCTTTCATTGGCTTTTTGTACGGCCTTTAAAACCTGACTCTTTCCATTAGACATAAGGACAGAATAGTAATTGGAGCCCGGTCTGTTATTTATTGCATTATTTGAGGAAATGGATTATTTTTATGTGTCATCTTTGTTGGTTGGTTTACTGTTTTAGCTGTATTTTTTGTTTCTTGCTTTGCTCAAATGGGAAGCCATATGCATTTATGGAATAAAATAGCCTTACAATCCATAATAATGCCAACATGGGATTTCTTGTTACTGCAGACCAACCATCTGATCAGCCACACAATATCAACTGGATATAATTAAGTGAACATCCTTTTAATGGTGGGTTGATGGTGACCTGCAGGATGCATGCTTTTCTAACCTCATGCTCCTGATACACCAACCTTTTCTCTTTTCTTTTGCAGAACATTACAGATTGATTTTGAAAGCACCTGTTAATTCAAAGCATAATTTTATGTAATAAATTTACAGACACATTTACACATATGCTCCCAGAGTGAACTGAGAACAACATTAACAGTTTAAACTAGGGCAAAAGGGTAAGGGAGATGGGAGAACATTTTTGCCTTGAATATAGTCTTCACCCTAATTCTCTCTTTTGTGGCGATGGCTTGCTTGGATGCTGTGTGGCTCTCTGGGAAAAAGTTTGGTGGAGTGACTCTGCAAATAGAAGAGAGCACAAGAATAAAACGATTGTGGTTTTTTTTTTCCACAGCAAGAACCACTTTGAAACTTATGTTTGCAAACTGGATGCTTTAAAATTAAAAGGCTGTACGTAAGACTTTTCTCAGTGTACTTTTGCAGCTGGGATTTAGGGACATACTACCTCTAGACTAGGCTGGACCAATTTTAAGATGATGGATACCTTCTGTTTCACAAAGGTGTAAGGGAATTTAGAACAGGACAGTTGTGCTGATAGAAATAGACATATCTATTTTTATCAGCACTACTGTCCTGTCTCTTAGCACTTTTGTTTTTAGTAAAACATGTGAGTTTTGCCCAGTGGGGATGTTAGATCCCTGCTGCTTTGACTGCCTGGCTCTGTACCTTTTCATCCCTGTCTTGTTCAAGAAAATTAAACTAAAATCTTCTTCCCTCTTTTCTCTTACTGGAAAGTGGTGGTGGTGGTGGGGGGGGGGGCAGGGGAAGGGAGAAAGAGGGACTACCCCTCTGGATTCTGCTGAACCAAATCTCCTGGCATCCTATACCAGGACTGGCGATGACAGCAGCTTTTGTAATACGTAGTTCAGCAACATCTGGAGGATCAGACCTCTTCTTTCTGAAATGTAAAAATACAAGCATTTTGTGATCATGGGTGGCAGCAAATAAAAGCGAAAGAGGCTTGCCTTTATGCGTGGAATCCGGTTGCTTTTTGAAGTACTTCTGCCTTTCTTCTAACTGGTGGGCCATCTTGACGTTCTGCCATCCTGGGGAAGAGATTAGAGGAGGAGGCAGCTCACCGTGTGTGAATCTCTACCCAACCTGTTCCTGCCTTCAGCCATTATTTTCTCAACTCACCTTCCTTAATGCTCCTCAGGAAATCTTCCTGGGCTGGTAAGCTCTTAGGGTTGTGTTCCACTCTCTCGGGGATGTGGAAAAACGCACGAGCGGCAGGTAAGCGAAACAGCAATATTTGCATAACGGAGAATAAGTTGGATGTCAGCCAGTAGGTAAAGATTGCCTGCAGGGGGGAAAAGAGAGCATCAGGTGATCTGCTGGGTTCTACTTTTGCCTCACTCCTTCACGTGCTGATGATGTTATCTAGCCTGGTATAGAAATGTCTGAAGGAAACCAAGCTCACACCCAGAAGAAAGTTTTTTTTCTGTTATATTTTCTGTTTTTTTCCTACCCTGTGTAACATCATCTCTTAAAATATGGCTTTGTCAGCCAGTTTGGGGAACCCATGGTAGAACGGAGCCTGTTAGATACTTGTATGGCTTTTTAAAAAATCTTTTGTTTTTGTAAATAACTCGAGGTGGCAAACATACCTAATACTCCCTCTTCCTATTTTCTTGCACAACAACCCTGTGAAGCGGTTGGGCTGAGAAAGAATGATTGGGCCATAGTCACCCAGATGGGCTTTCATGCTTAAGGCAGGACTAGAACTCAGTCTCCTGGTTTTTTATCCAGCAACCTTAACTACTAGACCTGTGACGGTGAACCTATGGCACGCATGCCAGAGGTAGCATGCAGAGGCCTCTCGGTGGGCACACGAGCTGTTGTCCCAGCTCAGCTCTGCTGCGCGTGAGTCTCCCGTCCACCATCTGGTCTTCTGATCTCTGCTGCGCATGCGTAGGGGGCAGGCGCATGCAGGGAGGGATGGGGTGCAAGGGCAGTGGGGTGCATACATGGGAGACACGTGCACATTGCATTTTGCACACTTGCTTTGGGCACTTGATGCCAAAAAGGCCAGCCATCACTGTACTAGACCAAAGTACATATACGCGGTATGTTTTTCACATTATTTGTTTATGTCTTGTTATTTTAATTAAATCTGTTTTAATTAAATCTGTTTTAATTAAATCTAAATGGTTTTAATGTACTCTTGATTATTACTATGTTTGCCATCCAGAGTCACTATGTGTGATGGCTATACAAATGAAATAAATGAACACATAATTTATAGAACAAAAAGGTCACTCGGGGAGACACACGAGCGTGGAAAGCTTGCAGGCTTCCAACAGTGCCAACTTTGAAGCTAGTGGCTTAAAGAAAATTATGTCTACCTCCAGGCCATCTACAATTATGTCTACCTCCAGGCCCTGCACAACTGCAATTTGCAAATGACGGTGAGAGACAGCTGGCCTATACATTTGATTAATAAATAAAAATCTACCGGCTTTCCCGCAGAACATAGCTGAAATGCCCTCTTACCGTTGGAAAAGAAATAATGAAAGGGAGGAAGACTACTGGCATCACACGGAAAACCTTTTTCATTAGGTCCAGGTTCGGGTTTGGAGGTCCTGCTTGCATCCCAGTCTGAAGAAGAAGAAAGAGCAGGAATAGGAGTAGGAAGGAGTAGGAAGAAGGAGTAGGAGTAGGAGTAGGAGTAGGAGTAGAAGAAGAAGAAGAAGAAGAAGAAGAAGAAGAAGAAGAAGAAGAAGAAGAAGAAGAAGAAGAAGAAGAAGAAGAAGAAGAA